CTCTCCTCGTTCGCCTCTTCTTCTCCTCCCCTTCCCCCTCCCCGCACCTACTATCCCTCGATACCTGAGAATCCTAACATCCCCCCGACGACGATTTGAATAATCATTATATGCGCGGCCGTATCTCGCAAATGAAACCTCTCGTTCTGCCGCCCCTCGTTCCGTCCTCCCCGGAGGAAATGGGAAAGACGATGGCCCGCGAAGATGGACAGAGGACTCGCGGGATTACACGGTAATTGCGTGCACGTGAGACGGTATAATTGATACCGTTTCCCGTCCATCATGATGAATTCTGGATCTTGGTTTGCGAAAGATTTCGTCCGGGAATACGACTTGGACACGGATCGGAAAGTGGCCGGGGTTTTTATAAGGGTTTTTGATCTTAATGGAAGTTGCTTGTCGGTGAATGTTTCATTCAGCGTTCGAGTTAAGAGAATTTTTTTGCGGGAGGTTCGGGGAGGGGAAGAAAAAAAGATTCCCACTCGTACAGTGAGATTCTTGTGGAACGCGGTTAATACGTTTGAGTGGGATTCGAAAGAGGAGAATTTTTTTATTTTAGGAGTAATAATAAAGAAATGTATGGAACGATCGTTGTCGCGTTAATTTTTATTTTCTGCGTCGTTTCGTCGAATAGGATATTTTCTTTTTATCAAATAGAAATTACTAAATGGAAAATTAAGCAAGGCACAAATTTCGATCGTTTTATTCGGTAAAATATTATTCTTAAAAAAAAGTTTCCTCAGGGATGGCTTCGTAAAAACTTGTTGTTACATTGTAATGTTTATTTAAATGAGAAATTAGCGTGGTATGCCAGCTTTGATAGGAAAGATGAATTTAAACTATCATTTAAATTTTTTGTTACAATAATAAAGTAACTCGTACAATCGTTGAGGGGTTAAATTTCAACATTTACACTTTCTATGAATATTATATACGAACGAGTTTTCAAAAAATAATGATCCAACGACAAAATAAGAACAACATAGATAGTTTCTCGATCGAAAAAGGATTCCAATTTTCTTTTTTTCAAGTAATAATCATAGTATTCCAATGATTCGAAATAAGACAAAGAAATAATCGATCCAGGCGAGGATCGAGAAATTCAGAGAGGTAGTCCAGTTCCTTAATCGAATCCTGTTCCGAGTGGTCGATGTACAGGCAATCCTCGTGCAGGATTGTCCGATTTTTTTGTTATTCATTGGGAACATTTTCGTGGAAGGGGACGGCGGGCTGACCTAATCCCGTTCAAATTTCCGCTCCCAAGGCGCCTAAAGGAATTAGCATTCGATCTCGTGGCCCGTCTCCTGGGAATCGGCCGCCGGAAAATTCTCGCCGCCTCACTTTCGCGTCCGGTACACGTCGATTAGGTTTGTCTTTCGCCCCGTTTCGGCCAGTTTCCACCAAGATAATTAAACGCCGGAGATGGCCACTAATTTCGCTATTATAGAATATTCCCGCGCTTAAGAAACGAAACGGTGACGCTGTATCTGCGCTTTATCGCTCGTTTATCGCTCCACGAGGCAATTTCGGAATTTCACGGGGTGGAAATCATCAGATCGTGGTGGATCGAGATCAAATAAAAAGAAGGAAACGAATTAAACTCGTTTGCGATTTTTTTTTTTTTTATTTAGTTTTCATCCTTTGAGATGAATGGATTGGAATTGTGATACGGATAACACGATTCTTCAAATACATTTGCATAAAGAGTTTTCGAATAAAACAAGCGATTGATCTTTTATTTTACGAAATTAAAATTAATTCCTTCAAATAGATAGGATTCGTAAAAAAAATTAAGTATGAGAAAAATTGAGAAGAAATTCTCTGTCAATTATTTAATTGGATCCGGATTCAACATAATATTTTCCATGTACACGCGTATTTTCACTCGAAATGGAATGTCCAAAAGACACGAAGTAATACGTTTCGAATGCCACAATTTCGCACCAATTCTTACAAGTACTCTTCATCCATCGCTCTAATTCGATTCTTTCCAGATAAATTCTATTCTCTCGATTG